TCTAATACTACTAACTCAATCTCAAGAGGGAGTGTAGTAGTACTGGTGATAGCACTGGCGCTACCATGTGTCGCAGGATACGCTGATTTAGCCCAAGCTGGGGCTCAACGCTGGGTCTCAACAAGGAGTGTGAATCTGGGTTTAAACTATTTCCAGTAAGTACATGCTTGGGGCCCTGAGCACAGTAGCGCTTGCCGTGGTTTCCGCACTTTCAGCTGTATCCATCGAGCCGTGTACTTTCCTACTAGGTACGAACTAAGATACTGCAGCTAGAAGTGCCTATGCTGAAGTTCTAATTCTAGCAATCATGCTTACTAGGGCCAGTAAATAGTATACTTTAATACGGCCTGTGTGTGCTTTCTAGGCAGTCGCACCCAGTATGCACTCCAAATCTGTGTGAGGTAAAGTGATTAGGATTTGGATAATAATAGGGCGTTCGTAAATAATGCATGAGTCCTACCATGTTCTTTTGTCGTGCAGTTGACCGTCTATAGACTAACACTTTGGCCTACTACAGTATGTATCGGTAGCTTGGACGTAACAGAAGTGTGAACTTTGAGTAATACTATTTCCGGTAAGTACGTGTTTGAAACACGGGCGTTCCTTGGTTTTCATCCACTCAGCTCTGCCCACGAGATCGGGGCAGTTTTCACTCAGTTAGGACTACGAAGGCTGAGATACTGCTGCCAGTGTACCTTTACTGAGAGTGTTAACTTTAGTGATCATTTGTCCTAAGCCCTGCAAATGGTGTGCTGTAATACGGCACTGTATTACGGCTGCACTATAATAGACCAAGCCCTAACCCCTATTTTAGAATTTTGGCCGTGCTCAACTGACTAGTATAGGCGTCACTAACGCAGCGTATATACTTGCGATTAGTTCCAGCACACCTATGGACATTTAAGGCCCATTGAATAGTTCAACCGGACAGGCGGAGGGTAGAATTAGCTCACGAATAGAGGCAAAAGTTCACAACCCAGGTATTTGTATAGAAGACGAAAGCGTTTCAATCACCGGAATTCATGTTCTAGAATTAACTCATTCAAGAAAATCACAAGAGCGGGAGATGAATACCTCGGGGAAGTTACTGTAAAATGTGGCTTCTCGATGGTTGTGGTTGTCTAAAGTGAGGACGCTCTTAGTTTTTGCCTGACCAAAGTACTGGGGAGTGCACTCTTTTTAAATATGTTGGGAGGACCAACGTTTACTCACCTTGACTATAAGTCTACCAAAAATTGTGGAACACAATAATCCCGATGGTTGCACCAGAAACAAGTAATAGAATTTCTTATAGCGCAAACCCGTTTTGGTTTAAATTAAATAGCCAGTCACATAGGTGAATTCAACATATCGCTTGCATCAAGTGCAGGAACAGTAAACATAAAACACAGCACACTGGCTCACCGAGGTCACGGGAACATTCGTAGACTGCGGGGGAACGCAGGAGGGCAGATGGGAGTAGAGCTTAACGGCCTGCCAGGCCATCAGCGAATGACTAACTGGCCGCTTGGAACTAAGGCCTGAGAATACAGATGAAAATGAGGTCACACAACAGCAACAGATTAGTT